TTATATAGCATTTTCACAACCTACAGGATTTAGATAGTAGCCATAAGAGTATTAATTGCAAAATTTGCATATCAATATTTTCAAACATGCAAACTTGCTTTTTCAGAAATAAATCTATAGGAAACGAATCTATAGAAAAAAAGGAACTCTTTTAAAGGCCTTACAATTTTAAAAAATGACACAATGTAATCTCCATAAGTAGAGATTTCTGTTGGTTCTATATCCCTAGTACCTAGAACAAGGCTTGGCATATGGTAGGTGTTCAATAAATACATGTTGAATTAATAGACATATTTCTAATGATACTGGGATTCACCCCTGGGGTGCTTTACCACTGAGCCACATCCTCAATTCTTTTTATTTATTTATTTTGAGACAGCATCTCATTGAGGTGCTTATGGCTGTGCTTAGTTGCTGAGGCTGGCCTCAAACCTGTGATCCTCCTGCCTCAGCCTCCCAACTCACTGGAATTACTGGTATGTGCCATTGTGCCAGGTTTTAATGAATATTTTAGAAATACCACTTGATTAGAAATTTAAGAAACTATAGGTGATCTGGTAGGCCATAAATCAAGTGGAAACTAAAAAGCCAGATGCAATTTTGCATCTTAAACTGATGTGGAAAGAAGCCCAATAAGACGAATTTTTCTTTTCCATTTACAACTATTGGTTTAAAGCATAACCAATGAGTCCAGTTGAGAAACACCAGTAATGGATATGTTTTAATATATAAAGTGTTACAATGTAGTTATGTTATGCCAGTCTCTAGAACACAGCTTCCTTGTGTCTGCTCAGGATCCTTGGTGGTTATTATTTACTCTTTTATCCTGGGTGACTGGTGGGCTTGATGAACAAACCAGTTCTGGGCCCCGAGGACTGGAAGGAAAAGGCTTCGTGGCAGCAGGCTCTGAGAGTCACTTCATTTTTCCAAAATGTCCCCATGAGGTTGGAAGCAGTGTTGCCAGCACCAGCGGCTCCTCTCCTCTCCCCCCGAGAGGAAACTGTCTTCCCAGCTCCAGTGAGAAAGTTCCCAGAGAGGGACACTGATGAGCTGAGCTTGGGTCACCTTCCTGTCCCTTGGACTCATCTCTGTGGCCCGGGAGGAAGGATGGGTTATGTGAGAACTGTTGCCAGGATGGGGAGGGTGGAGCGGCTCCTCAAGACAGGGGCGGGCCATTCCCAGGAGAGAGAGGCCCTGGGCAGACCAACACCCGTGACCTGTGACCAACCGTGAAAAGCAAAGCTCTTGTTTGCAGCCTTCAGATGGGTGGCTTCTTAGTTTGGCCCTGCAAGAGTTTCAAATTCTAGGGTGACCAAAGTCCCTCAGCTTGAGGGTCCTGCAGGTCCAAGGATCAGTTAAACAAATAGTTAGCCAGCCAACAGTCTGCACCCTGTTGTTGTTGCTGCTGGGGACTGAACCCAGGGCCTCCAGCATGCTAAGCACCCAGCCACATCCCCAGCCTCTAGTCAGCCCTATTTCAAATAAGTTAAAAACAGTTTCATCTGAATTACAAAGACAAAGATAGTATCAGTGTCTTTCTTTAAAGGATCAAAACATTTTTACCACAAATTCTTAAGATCTGCATAACCTAATGGACCAACAAATAAAATTCTCTCCATTTTGCCTATTGGAAAGTAAAGCAAGATGTCTTGTGAAGGTCACARTTGATGAGGAGCTGGATTAGCTTCCAGCCTAGTATGTTTTACACCAAAGTCCAGCGTCCCAACAAAAAACGCARCCCACAGGCTAGTGTTTGATATTTGACTTTACTTTATAAAAATACACAACTTAAATACATATGACACTCTGTATACAAGACATAAACAACCAGTAGATTTAACATTTTCAGCTATTGCAACAGAACAAAAATATGTAAATTACCTTATAAGAGTAAAGGGTTTATTGTTTATTGATAAACTCTGCATTCACAGTCAAGGGGAGGAGCGCCCGGAGCCATCCACACACGAAGCAAACCCACCCTGTCCAAYGGTCCAACAAGCCGTTCAGCGAGGCCTTCACTGCACAGCTTCATATTGCACTGCTCATTAGACACAGTCGAACCTCTCTGTGTCACAATTGAGAGCTTTTGTCTTCTCTAGAAACGTCTAATGGCGAGATCATGTCTAGACAGCATTAAGCGTGACTTGGAATTGTGCTCAACAGGGGAAATCATGAACTGCTCCTCACTCTGCACAACTTGCAGTGGAAGTTGGTTAGCTATTTTGCAGCTAAATTCATTCCCAAAAGTTTTACAAAAATGTTGGCAGACTTACGTGAGCTTGATGGGGTACAGTGGCGAGGGAAGTGCCAAGCTTACTTGTAAGGGGCACTGTCACTATCCGAGGCAAGTGCTCACCACCCCCTTTCTAACTCAGCTGGAAATCCCTCCCTGCCCCTGGCCACTTCTGAACTGACTGACCCGGCCTGCAGGGGTTGCTTGCTGACTCTGGTGATTGTTCAGACTGCATTACCTATGGCTCATTTAACTAATAGTGAAATATGTACCAGTTTATCAGTATAAAGAAATGTTTACCTCTTGAGAATTTGATACATGAGAACATACTAGAGTATGTTTCCTGAGGTAAATGTAAGCCTTAAAGAGTAGTGTACAATCTACAGAAGTATAGTGATTTACCTTGGGTAGCAACATAAAGCCCCCCAAGTCTGGGCTTTTAAATTAACAAGCTAATAAAACCAAGGATACATTTATATGAGAAATAAAGTTACAGTGCTGAAGTCAAAAAATATTGACAGCTGAGAATATCAATTCAAAAGGAGGCACGAAAGGCGAACTGAGAAACACAAGGGAGTGTATTTTAAAGTGCTTAGGAAGGGCSGAAGATTAATCTGAAATGCCTCCAGGGATTTCTAACAAGTTTAAAAAGTTTTACTTCTTGGTGACTCAGATGTGGAAGACATGGCTTTTCTTTAATAATAGCTGCTCAAACTCTTTATTCTTTTTTGAAAAACAAGATCCTTTATAAAAACTTTTTGGTCACTGAAATTATCTGGTAGCTGGGACTGTCACTGGTGTATTTTGAAATCCTAACTGGCTGAAGAATTTTTAATAGGTTGAGCTAGACAGCACACATCTGCACCAAGAATTTTAATGAATRCATAGAGGTCTGTGGAGTTTTGCATGAAGTTAGTTACCAAACAACTTTTCATTGCAAATCATGCTTTGTTATTTCTTCATGTCCTGCTGAAGGATTATGGAAATCAGAAAAGTTCTCAGACCCTAAGGCTTAACTTTCTCATTTTATTCCTACTATATAAATAGTATGTGGCCATCCTGAATGTTAATAATGAAGATGTTGGAAACTGAGTCCCAGGACCTAAGAACCAAGCACAGGCTACGTTTCAATGAGTTACTCACTCTTAAGGATACGACTGGAAATACTAAAGAATTTTCTCTGCTATAATTACTCATCTACACAATGTAGTTGGATGAGGAGTCACCAGGATAAAAACTGGCACCAGCTGTTTTGCAGGGCCATATACTCAGTGAGCTGTCCTATTGACTTGGGCTGGTTCCCCATTCATATGACTCCCATATTCTGTTGAGAGAACAGATCCATGTTGGAATACTTGAGGCATGAAGAAGGCCTTAAGCAAAACTTAGGCCCAAGAAGAGCTTTGGGTTGGAGTTCTGCAGTCTCAGAAGCTGTTTTAATGGCCAGAGGAAAATCCCATAAGGGATCATTAAAAGAAAGCATTTTTGATTATCACCCAGATAAACACTCACTTTATAGAACAATGGTTTTCAATGACAAGCTCAATGTAGCCTGAGTACAGCTGTACAAGGTAAAGCTACTTTGGCAGAGGTCAAAGATCCAGGAGACTGCAGTCGCTGGGGAGAAGGCAGATGCTATCTGGCAATCAATATGGGTGAGCTGTTCAAAACTCACATTATAGTAATATTCTATATACTTCAAAGCTCCAATTAGTGCACTGGTTACAGCTAAAAATGTGAGTCAGATAATGAGTGATGGTGGGATGAGTCAAGTGGAGAGACTGGCTCTCAAAGTGCGATAGCAAACGCCAGGCCTGATACTTGCTCTTCATTCCTCCCCGGAACACCCAGGACACTGTGGCAGGAGAATGCAATTCTCTATGTGAAATTATTTTCATAATCCATAGTTTAAAAATATTACTATCCAGAAATTTGCAGCCMAAGCAGAAATCATAGATTTTGCCCTACACAGATATCTCCCAGTTGCTCTCACAGCATCAATTTCTTTAGGTCCAGATCAAGGCTTGGAAGGGGGGATGGAGGCAGCCAGGGTTTGAGGAGAGATACCTCATGGCAGATGTGGAGTATTTTTAGAAAAGGCAGAGAAGAGGAGAAGCAGAATAATTCTGGGGAGGAATTGAAGAAGAGGCCTAGAGGCCAAGCTCCCCAAAGGGCACCTGCCTTTCCCACCTGCCCGTGGGTAACTGTGAGGAATACGAAAGAGACAAGTGTCATACCAGGACTCCCCTTGAACACAACATGCCCCAGCTGGGCTGGCCTTGCCCTGTGGGCATGCGTGAGCACAATCTCCAGGTGTGACCTGCAAGTACTTCTGTCCTGGAGCCCGACTCCTCTCTGCCTGGTGCACGGTGCTCCCTACTGCTGTCGGTAACACTTCTTTGTCAGGGAAGGCCTGAGATCCAGGAAGGGCAGGAATCGGCTGCCATTGCTTGTCTCTTTTTGGACTGGCTCGTCTCTCCCCCTGGTGGCTGGATAAGGGAACAGGGAATGTCCTAGAGGGGCAGCTCAGAACCATCTGCCCCACTCACACTCTTGCAAAGGGCTGCCCAGAGTTCACTAAGGAGGGCTTGATGGTCCAGACACCCCCGAGGAACTCGTGGTAGAAGGAGCGACTTGCTTGAAAGGTCACAGTCAACTCTCAGGGGCATGGATGTTGTTTGCTTGTTTTTTCCCTCCTTTTTGCTTCCTTTTTTTGATGATAAATTAAAAAAAAAAAAAAAAAAAAAAAGGAAGGAAGGAAGGAAAAAGCAAAGGGTCCCACTGTCCTCTTCCCTCCCCAGAAACCTAGTGGACTTTTCCAAGCAATCCAGGAGGGATGCTACGGCCCAGCGCCTTGGAAGCCCCTCAGGCCGCCTGGCAATCAGAAATGAAGCCCATGAGCAGAGCCGCCTGGTTCTCTCCACGTGCAGCATCTCGCTGTGAAGGGCCTAGAGATGCAGCAGGCACTGAGCTACTGATTTATAAATGACAGCCAGGAGAGAGCAGAGCAGTGAGATTCTGGGAAGGAAAGTCCCTGTTGGTTCCTTCCCTTAGGGGTGTCGTCAATCCAGTCTGTCTTTCCTACTCTACTTGATGTTCTTCAGGAGGGCTGTCCGGGCATTCACCACAGCTTTGAAGGCGTCTTCACTGCCAGGCGCTACACACTTGTCGGGGTGCAGAAGCACAGCGAGCTTCCGGTAGGCTTTGTTGACCTCTTCCCTGTGGAAAGCAGCCGGTTAGCACCAGGGTCAGCACCCCCCCCACTTCACTAACATCTCTGCAGTCATCTCCAAGCGATTACTACCTTTTCTAAAGGCAGGACTAGAAAACTAAAAAACACACAAGCAAATAAGTAACAGGTAACAGGTAACATACGAGTACAAAAAATATGGTGCAACATGAGTACACAAATTCAGGAGAGAGTAAAGGAATGATTGATGGAAAGAGGTGGGACTGGGCACCGAGAAGGTCCCCTGAGAAGGCTGTGGAAGAAGGGGAGCTTGGAATTAGCCCAGGGTAGGGGGTCTGGAGCCCCTGGGAGGGACAGGCCAGGAGCAGAGCACAGATGCTGCACTGGGACAGATGACCAAGGAATGCAGTCAGCCAGGGATGAGGGGAGTCAGAGAAGGGCCTCAAAAGCACAAAAAAAAACCCTGGATTTGATCAACAATGACAACAGCAGGTGTTTGATGARAAACTGGTGCTGGGAAAGCTGTTTCTCAAAGTTGAGAGACAGGCAGGAGGTCATTACAACAACCCAGGTTGAGAACAGGGTTTTAGGTTAAGATGAATGGGGACGTGAACGAGGACACACAAGAGACGCAGAAAGCAAGAGTGGGCGGAAGTGGATGCAGAGCTGAACATTCAGTGAGGAGATAGCAGGGGCTGAGAAGAGTGGGGACAGTCTGGGGAAGGCCTGGAGAGGACTGGCCCTTCCTGTCCTGCCCTTCATTATTCCCAGGTGTCAGGCTCCTAGAGTCCTAAGTATCAGCCACTGCCCGGGTCTGGCTCTAGCAGGTTTTATTTTCCACTTTCCTTTTGTCATTCAGGGTCCCAGTTACCCTGTGAGCATGGACATGGCGTGGGCCAGGCGCTCCAGCGGTCTTTATTTCACTCTCCAAATCAGGAGATGGCCTCCGACCCCTTGGCAGTGATGGGCATTGTGGACGTCAGCCTAGAGCTGCTGAGGATGTAGGGTCTGTGTTAACAGTTCCCGTGTCCAGGGCAAGCAGGCTAGGGCTTTTTCTGCTTTAAAAGGAATTCTTCTGGATATGCTGGTTTTAACCTCACATGCAGTGTTTCTACGTACATAACTTTGACATGAGTTAACGAGAATGACATTCTCCCTCTTTCAGGAAATTTGAATGGACAGAATTTTTATATCTCCAAAGACCTTCTATCCTTGAGGCAGGTACAGACGCCCCTTCCCTTCTCCCCAAGTGTGTCTTGAGCAGGGCCCCACAAACCACTGCTTCCTGAAAGAGTGTGTCCACAGTGGGTTAGTGTCAGGCCAGGCCTTTGCACTGAGAGTGCCTTTTAAGATTTCTAGGTRCAGGAGAGACTCTCAAGGGAGGTTTTTGAAGAAATAAGACTGATGCAGGTGTGTAACCTGAATCAATTCTGTTGAAGTGAAGATTTTCTTAAAGTTCAAGAAATAAGTAAATAAGGGCTGGGGCTGTAGCTCAGTTGTAGAGTGTTCAACTGGCACGTGTGAGGCACTGGGCTCGAACCTCAGCACCACATAAAAACTAATAAATAAAATAAATGTACTGTGTCCATCTATAACTAAAAATATTTTTCAAAAAATATTTAAAAAGAACAGTAAATATGGGGCTGGGGATGTGGCTCAAGCGGTAGCGCGCTCGCCTGGCATGCGTGCGGCCCGGGTTCGATCCTCAGCACCACATACCAACAAAGATGTTGTGTCTGACGAGAACTAAAAAATAAATATTAAAAAAAAAAAAAAAAGAACAGTAAATATGGGCTGTGGTTGTGGCTCAGTGGTAGAGTGCTAGCCTAGCATATGTGAGGCATTGGGTTTGACTCTCAGCATTGCATATAAATGAATAAAAAATAAAGATCCATTGACAACTAAAAAAATTTTTTAAAAAGAGAACAGAAAATAAACACTGTTGGTACTGAACAAATATCAAAATTCTCTGTAACTTAAGAAAAAAGTGTTTAAAGATTTTCCACAAATGTGCTTCAATACCATATAATAGACCCAGTACAACAGAAGAAAAAGGAGTTTATGTTTATATTGGTTAAGGATATGGAAATCATGATGTCCTGGAAGCTCTGATCGATTCCAATTAACCAAAGTGAATAAATAAGGAGCCAAAGTTTCTATTTTAGAATACTTTTCTAAGTTCATAATAAGTAGATAAAGAAATCATTTCTCAATATTAGAGCTAACATCTCTTGGAGACGACATAGGAGTTTAGAATAAGACTATGGAGGTCTAAAAGGATGTGTGTGTGTGTGTGGTGMTGGGGATTGAATCCAGGGCCTTGTGAATGCAAGGCAAGCACTCTACCAAATGAGCTATGGCCCCAGCCCCCAAAAGGACATTTTAAAGAGACACCAATAAGCCAGGCACCATGGTTCATRTCTGCCTGGGCAAGTTAKAAAGACCTTATCTCAAAATAAAAAATTTTAAAAGACTGGTGATTTGGCTCAGGGGTAGAGCACTTGCCCATCATACACAAGACCCTGGGTTCCACACCAGCACTGAACCAAAAAAGAAAAAAAAAAAAAAGATACCATAAGCTTTGTGCTCTATTCATTCATAAGGTCATCTGGATTCCTTCACAAATTCAAAGTGTCTTCAGTACTCCTGGTGAGTTAAGAGTGACCAATAACAGCTTCTCTTTCCCTTCTCCTCTTTCCTTTTTTTTTTTAATTGGWTGTTCAAAACCTTACAAAGCTCTTGACATATCATATTTCATGCATTAGTTTCAAGTGAGTTATGAACTCCCATTTTTACCCCAAATACAGATTGCAGAATCACATCGGTTACACATCCACATTTTTACATAATGCCATACTAGTAACTGTTGTATTCTGCTACCTTTTCCTCTTTCCTTTTGAACTTTACAAAGAGATGCTTGACTGCTTTTGGTGCTGACAAGGCAATTTCAAGATACAGTGTTTCTTTTGTGGAATTCAAGGTAAAAATGTAAGAAGGGAGAATTATGGGAAAGAGAGCTATGATGCAAATAAGACCCTCATAAGTTATGTGTAGTAACAATAGTATTATGTCATTAAAATTATATTACCATACTGAGTAATAATTTATTTTTGCATAAGTAATGAAGAATAGCAATTATATTTATTTTCTCCCCAAATAATTCTTTTGGCTAAAATAGAATGGCTTAACATACATACACTCACAGATGAAGAACTAGCAAGGTTTTTGAGAAGAGCATGCAGACACAGTGTTCCAGGGTCAAGAATCAGTACTGCCACTATCTGTTGGGGGTCTTGWCCATGGTTAATCTCACTGAACCCCAGTTTCCCCAGATGAAAATTTTGGAGAAGTTGATTGCTAATATGCTTTCCTCCCCCTAAAATTCTATGATTTAAGAAATATCTTTTGTAAAAATTTTTTAGGATACATTATCTCTCAGACCAAAGCACAGCCTCTTTCATGAAGGGTTTACACAGACACATGATATAGCTCCCTTAGCAGGCAACTGTGTCTTTTGATTTGATATTCTGATTTGTCTCTTTGATATTCAATTAATGAAGCAGAGTCACTATATGATCTATTTGCACATATTTTCATGTTTCCAGCCAATTAAAAGAAGATAGACTGTACCCATAATTTGGGCAACTGAGTCTCTCTCTCTGATAGCACTCAGCACTAGATATTCTAGATACCACTTACCTTGAGGCCCCAGGTTTGACTCCCAGCATGTCCCAACTATCTTTACTATTTCGAATTCTGCGAATGGTGTCTGCTTGTTCTTTGGTGAAACTAGTACTGCTATTTGTGGTAGGACGTTTTCCGCCATTTTCACATAAATCAACTATGGACACATAAAAGGTCTGTAAGAAGAAAACATGTGCCAGAGTAGAAGTGATTTGTGAAAATAGGAATTCCTTTCAAGCATCAACTTAACGACTTTTAACATATTCCAATAAGTCACGAATAAAGCAAATATGTACTTTGGAACTTTTCCTCTTCTACTATTTAAATATATGTACTCCTATATCTTAATATAGAAAAAGTATAAGGAATAAAATTAAAATGTCTCATAATCCTACTCTCAGATTACCACACTTTAAGGTTAAAAAGTAATAGAAAGCCTGAAATCCCAGCAACTTGGGAGGCTGAGGCAGTAGGATGACAAGTTTGAGGGCAGCCTTCTCAGAATAAAAAATAATAAAGGGCTGGGGATGTAGCTCAGTGGTAGAGCACCTCTATTCAATTACCAGTACCAAAAATAAAATAAAATAACAAAAGTAATAGATGAACACTGTTAGAAATATTCAAATTGTACAGTGAGATAACCATTGTTAGCAAATTTTTCTGGAATAAAACTGCCACATACTCACAAGTATACTGTCACACACTCATATCCATTCTCTATAAATCACTGCATCAAAGAGAACAAACACATTGCTTAGCAGCTGGCATTTTTTCACATAATAACACATCTTGGAATCTTTCTATAGCTACATTTAGAGACTTTTGATCTTTTTATATGACTGTTCAGTATTTTACTGTGTGGTTACACCATAATTTATTTAACCAACCTTCTTCTCATGGGCACATCCAATGTTCCCAGTCCTTTGACTACAAWAAAAAAATATTTTGGTGAATATTTTTGAGTGTCTACATCTTTGAACACTTATAGAGATGCTGCTTTAGGATAAATTCTTAAAAGCAGAACTGTTGAATAAGAAAGAGCACGTGTGCATCTTAATTTTTTGTTTTGACAACTGTTGTCCACAGAGGCTGTAGCCATTCACATTCCCATCACTGTGTATGAGTGCCCATTTCCCCACACCTTCATTTACAGTGGGCATTATTGTAATTTTTGACAATCTGAGATGATGAGAGAGCTTTGGTTTACATCTCTTTCATTATAAGTAAAAGTGAGAATCTTTTCATATGCTATGGCCTTTTCTTCTGCAAACTTAATATTTCTTACCCACTTTTATGATTTTTATGTGAAAACTATTATTTAGGCCTGCTCATGTTTCACGCTCTGTGCACTATTATTATTAATAACTTTACTAAAATACGTTAATTTAATACACTATAGCTGCTTTTAATTGCCTTAWCTCCTTTCCCCTCTGTTTCTTATAAAATTTCTTTCTCTTGGAACTGGAGTTGTGGCTCAGAGGTAGAGTGCTTGCCTAGCATGCATGAGGCAGTGAATTCGATCCTCAGCGCCACATAAAAATAAAGATATGTGTCCACCTATAACTAAAAAATAAATTTTAATAAAATAAAATTTCTTTCTCTTTTTTAAAAATATGTATCTATTTTAGTTGTAAATGGACCTTTATTTTATTCATATGTGGTGCTGAAACTCAAACCCAGGGCCTCACACATGCTGGGCAACTGCTCTACCACTGAGCCACAATCCCAGCCCTAGTTTGTATTTTATTTAGAGACAGGGTCTCACTGAGTTGTTTAGTACCTTGCTTTTGCTGAATCTGGCTTTGAAATCGTGATCCTCCTGCCTCAGTCTCCTGAGCCACTGAGATTACAGGCGTTCACCACTGTCCTGGCTTTTAGTCACCTTTTATATTATTCTTTGTTAACAATGTCAATCAGACAAACTAAATTCCTTCCTGACACAAAGCATCTACTAAGAAGATAGGAAATAAAAGAAAATGTTAAACCAGGGCTGGCTCAGCAGTAGAGTGCTCACCTAGCACGTGGGAGGCTCTGGGTTTGATCCTCAGCACCACATAAAAATAAATAAAATAAAGGTATTGTTTCCAACTACAATTAAAAAGTATTTTTTAAAAAAGAAAGAAAATATTAAACTGAACCAGCAGGAAAGCACTCTATGTGCATACTTACAAAACAGTGTTCTTATATTCTTATTAGCCCTATTTATTTTTTGAAGCAGACTAATTTGTCCATTAGTTCTACCCAAGATTTATCTACATGGATAAAAGCYATCTAAAAGAGTTCACAGATGTTTTCTAGTCGTATGCATCAGTAACATTTTCTTCTAGTCTATGAGTTGACCTGAAATATAAATACAGACTTCTGAGGGCACAAGTACTCATTCATAACACTTACAGAAGACAAGCTGTGGTGTGATAAATGGAATACTAGAAGTGAAGTCAAAGCCTGTTTAATTTCATGTGTAAATTCCAACCATGATAGAGTAATAGGTCTTGGACTAGTCCTCCTGTCCAACYACCATCAAACTGGACAAATATATGGGGCAACTATTTGTAGGCCGCAGACAACATCAAGTTTGAGACTATGTCCTGGGAGGTAAGCCCCACGATCACTTGCTTCTCCACCTGCAGGCCATTTTCTGACCATGGTGCCGAGAGCCTGTCTGAGCAGACAGAGTGCCATTGAGAGAAGAAAGGAGACATCAGAGTTTAAGGGAGCTGAAGTGTCTAGAATCTGCAGAGCAGGACATTTGAGAGGAGGGAGATGTGCAGAACTGGGCCCCAAGTCCATGGGGTATCCCCATGTGTTTACAGCAGAGGGTTAGGCTATACGCACACAGGGTAAGATCATTTGAGTTACCAGAGAACAGGTAATTTGGAGTTGAGAACAGAACCAATATGCCAGAGGTCCAGTGGTGCTAGGGGAAGATATGTCCAGCCAGCACTTGAGTTTGGCCTTACCAGGGTGAAGAGATTGCTGTGATACCTCATTAACACCCCTGGCATCTAGCTGAGGAGCCACAGAAGGGCTGTGCTTTAGGAGTTAGACTCAGAAAAACCAGAAACAAGAAGATCTACAACGGAGACAGAATTTGAAGAGAAGTCTTGTCAAATAAGAAGGACTTGGGAAATGCTTTGGGCTTCCTTTAGATCCTTACTATTAAAGCAAAAAACGGAAACAAAAAAACCTACATAAGTTCATTGTGATTTTCCAGTAATTGAACTGTTTCCTGAAAAAAGAATTGACATCCTTGAGGAAGATTTTWAAAAATATCTATATATGTATAGGGTCTCTACAATGTATAGGTTTGGTATTTGTCAAAAAATTACTATTCATATAAAGAACCAAGAAAATGTGATCAACAGTCAGGAAAAAAGTAGTTAATAGAAACTGAACCTAAAATGGCTCAAATGTTGACCTTAACAAAAACTTTAAAACAGCTCTTACAAATATCTAAAAGAGGTAAAGGAAAATATATTCAAAAAATTAAAGGAAAATATACTCTTATAAGTGAGCAAATAAGGAATCTCAGCAGAGAATTGGGAACTGTACAGAAGAACTAAATGCAAATTCTAGGATCAAAACATACAGAGTTGAAAAATTCACTCAGTGTGTTTAACAGCTGATTGTCAATGAACTTTAAATCAACAAAGACTATACGCAATCTAAAAAATGGGGGAATATAGAGGAAAAGTAAATATAGCCCCAGAGACTGTGGGACAAAATCAAATGGCCCGATACACATGTAACCAGAGCATAAGAAGGAGAATGAAATGAAAAATATATTTGAGGAAGTAATGGTGAAAACAAAAATAAACAAAAAATTTCCCAAACCTGATGAAAAACACCTACTTACCCATCTCAGAAACTCAACAGCCCCAAATAAGATTAGTATGAAGAGAAATTCACTTCAGCACTTTATAGTCCAACTGCTGAAAATTGCAGAGGAACTCTTGAAAGCAGCCAGAGGGGAAGAGGCAGAACGTGTAGAGAGGAATAAGAGTAAGAATGAACGTTTACATCTCATGGGGACAACAGAGGCCAGAAGAGAATGAACCAACATCTTTAAAGTGCTGGAAAAATTTTAATTTGTGGAAATGCTAATTACCATGATGTGACCACTACACGTTGTATATGTGTATCAAATTATCACACCATGCTCTATGGTAATGTACAACTAAATAATAATAAAAAATAGAATAAAAAAGAAATGTAATCTATAAGTCATTACTTATATGCCTTAGACAAGTCACTTTACTATCCTACCCTTAGATATTCTCATATACGAAATGAAAATAATGTCTGTCATGCATTATTTTTATATGTCTCAAATGAGATGAAATATGTAAATGTCTCTAGATTGTAAAATACCATTTAAGTTGTAAGTATCATTATTGCACACATAGGGACAGACTCACATAACTGTATGTACTGAAAAGAATAGAAAGCAAGGCAAACCAACATCAACCTGATCCTGAAATAGAAGCCACTGACGCCCAATTCAGCCTGTCAGCCAAAGATCAAACCTGTCTTCTAGGAGGAGAGGTGACATCTTGTGAGAAAGAAATTCAGCATAAAAGATTAAATATAATCCCACTCAATAATTAAGAAAAACTCTTTACAGTACTAACTACTCTATTTAAAATCCTAAAAATACCAGCTATAGTCATAAGAAGAAAAATACATTATTCATATCATCACGTAATTAAGAGTTGATTTATAACTTCTTGTTCTAAATAGCCTCCTTCCCTTGAAGTGATTCAAGATTAGTAGGTTTGAAGAAGTGACCATTTATTCAGGTTGCTATGTAAGCTCATCCTTCTAGTGTCTGCTTGATTGGTGAAGCCTTATTTATTTATTTTTAATATTTTTTTCAGTGGTAATTGGACACAATACCTTTATTTTACTTATTTTTATGTGGTATTGAGGATCGAGCCCAGTGCCTTGCCCGTGTTAGGCAAGTGCGATACCGCTGAGCCACAACCCCAGCCAGTGAGGCCTTATTTTTAAGTGTGACTGGTTGGATTCTATAATGAGTCTTCTTTATTTGCACCCCTATGGACTACAATATTGGATTATATTAGGTGTGGCAAGGCAGTTTTGCCACAGTAACACTTCCAATTGATTCTGTATACAAATATAACAATTTTATTAAACTTGGGTAGTTTTAAAGAAAATTGTTTTCTTACTTAACCCATTATGTCCCATTGTCCTACACATAGGACAACTATAAAAATTTAAATTAAGCAATTGTATAGGTGTCCTAATTTTTTTTTATTGGTTTTTATGGGTGTCCTATATATAGGACAATGGGATATAATGGGTTGAGTGGTACAATAACTTATTGATTATATTTAATGAACATCAGAATTACCGGGAGAGCTCTTTTAAAATATAGATTCTTGATTCCATCACAACAGTAAGCTTCCAGTAGGCATGAGCCCAGAAATCTATATTTTGGAGAATTTCCCCAGGTAGTTTTTTTTTTAATTGATTTTATTTTTTTAAATACACAACTATGGAATGTATTACAATTCTTATTCCACATATAGAACACAATTTTTCATATCTTAGTATATAAAGTATGTTCATGCCAATTCATGTCTTTATACATGTACTTTTTTTTGCATTACAATTCTTATTACACATATATACCACAATTTTTCCTATCTCTGTTTATATAAAGTAGGTTGACACCCAATTCGTGTCCTCATACATGAACTTTGGATAATGATGTCCATCACATTCCACCATCCTTGCTAATCCCCAGGTAGTTTTGATGCTCCCCCAAGTCTGAGCTATTACCGACTGCAGACAGATCACTCAAGAGCTCCCGCTCTCTCCACCTTTAGAGAAAGACCTTATTCTAATGAGAAATTCCTATTGTTTTCTGTGTCTCCTAATTTCCACTAAAAGGCAGCATGGCTGGCCTTCATGCTAACCCTAAAATAACCAAGAGCTTGGTTACCTGGAACATCTCATTGATCCCTTCTCCAGTCTGTGCTGAGGTTTCAAAGTATAGGAACCCTTTGCTTTCCGCCCAGAGACGCCCTTCACTTTCATCTACGCAGCGGTGCTTGGTGCAGTCGATCTGAAATAGAAAAAGTTGGGGGCGGAGAGAAGATTCCAACATTGTCCACTAGAATACACTCAGTGGGGTCTTTGTCAATCCTTTACTGAGGCAAAAACTATTTTTAATGAGCCCCAGCACAAGTATATAAAATTATCAGGACAAAAAGAGCAAAACAAATAAAGAACAAACATCCTGCCTGTCGGCCAGTCTTCGGGCTCCCACTTCCCCCGTGGGAAGGCTGCTGCTGCCCACCTCTGTGGAAAACGCTTCAATTATCTGCCATTTCCCAGGGCCCAAGCTTGCTTTCCACAGCCACATGTCACTAGTGAATGTCCCTCCTCCCATCAGGGCAGAGTGTGATTATTATGGAGGTCCACCTCTCCCGCTGTCACCAACATCCTTCCCCAAGTAGGACACCGAGGGAAAAAAATGGATAAAATTCCTGATATCCCAGGTTTGGGGTTTTTGTTGTGATCTGTTTTTAGATGAGGACATGTGTTTTGAAAGGTTGCCTATTCCTATACTTGAGAATAAAGAAATTTCTTTCTCCTTTTTTAATGAACACGATACCTTTCTTTCTTTATTTTATGTGGTGCTAAGGATCGAACTCAGTGCCTCACACATGCAAAGCAAGCGCTCTACCAATGAGCCACAACCCCAGYCCAAGAAATTTCTTTTTGTTAGTTCCCCCAAACTCTCGGATCTGCACTCTTCCCTAGAAAGGTGAGCATACCAGTTCCAAAGCAGTTACCTTGTTGGCACACACTACAAATACAATATTGTCCATGTTCCCGTGAGGCCCGAGTTCCTGCTTCATCTCTGCCAGCCATGCATCCAGGGCATCAAAGGAGTCTTTCTGCCCCACGTCATAGACCAGCATCACACCCTGCGTGTCCTTGTAAAACTCATTGCGGACCTTGGGTGGAAGAACAGATGCACAGGATGTAGGTTTTGTGATTTTATAAGAATGTATTTCATAATCATTAACTAGGTAAAGTGTGTTCTTCTATGTAGTCATGGCATTTGCTGTCGTTCCTCAGGATTTACTTGTTCTTAGAGGACTTTTTATAAAATCAAAGTAACTTAACTTTTAAAAATCTATTACCATACAAGGACTTAGAGCAGAAAGAAGTGTCTTCCTGCCCACCCTTCCCACCTCCAGTTCCACTCCCCAGAAGTAATCACTTTTTAATTGTTAGTAGACCTTAAAAAGAACACCAATTATATGAAATTCTTGGGAGGATGAGTGAACAACTAAAAAGAACCTAAAGCATAAATGACACAAATATCAGCCACGGGTTCATCGTTTTATATATATCACACCCCAAAGATGGCTCTCCCCAGTGTTAGGCACAACTTCCCTGACTCTTGGGATCTATATACCAACTTTTGAATTTCAAGATCAGAGCCTCAGTGTAATAATAAGGGCAAAACCACAGGCTCTGGAGGCAGATAGATCTGGGTTCACACTTACTTACTAGTTGTGTGATCTTGGGCAAGTCACTTAACCTCTCTGCCTCTCAGTTTCCTCATCTGTAAAATGAGGATAATACTCTTACTTCACAGGGTTATTATGAGGATTAAATGAGATAATGAAGGCAGAGTACTTAACAGGGGTGCCTGGAAAACAATGGGTATCTTCACCTTCTTCCTTTCTTCCCTGTATTCATTATTGAATTTTTAAAAATATTTTTTAGTTGTCAATGGACTTTTATTTTATTTATTTATATGCAGTGCTAAGAATTGAACCCAGGGCCTCACACATGCTAGGCAAGTGCTCTACCACTGAGCCCCAGCCCTAGCTCATCATTATTGGATTTTTCTGTGGTGTTTCATTAGAAATGGCAACTTGCTTCTGGGGCATAGCTACAACTCTAGGAAGAAGAGGCATGAAATACAGGGCACACTAACAGAGCAGAAGCAATAAGAGGCTAGGTGAGCAAGGAGGGGGTTCAGGCTAAAATTCCAGGAAGACCCTTGTAAGAGGCCATAGTTAAACATTCTTTTCACAAAATCCCAATATGTACCCAGACCCACACTGGATGTGTAGTAAGAAATAAGGTATCTTACACACATCAGGTACGACTGTCCATACGTGGACAGATACCCGGATCAGGAATATAAGGTCTATAAATCTACAGAACCTAAGAAGCTATCCTCTGAAGTGAAGACCAGTGTTTATTCTCCTGTCACTTCCTTTCCATTCAAAACAAAAAGAATTTGAAATGACAAGCAATGAGCAACAGTCTTCTCCCCTCAGCAGGGTGGTCCTGAGCCCTTCCGCAGCACCCAATGATGACTCTTCCTTCTTTCCAGAAGCTCTTGCTGCCTTGGCCTTCATGTACTACGTTCTCCAGGTTCTTAAACTCTCTTTCACCAATTCATCTCCTCCCCATTGGCCCCACTCCAGCTCATCACCAAGCCCTTCCAAATCCCATCCTGGGCCCTCTTCCTTTCTCTCTCAATCCTTCCTTCTAAGCAATATCAAATGCTGGTACAGGTTCAACCATGAGAATCTGTAAGATGAGCCTTTTCAAATTGGCTTTCAGAACTGCATTTCTAATTAGTACAAGACTCTTCTAGTTGAACATCCTGTTGGAATCTCCAATTCAATATGTATAACAGGGACAACTTATTTCTTCATCTCATTCCTTCTTAAGCTTTTCCTTCTCTTAGACATCAGTGATGAGTCCCACATCATTCTTTCAGTCATTTGAGTTGAAAGTTTGGTGTCAACTGTTGGTGCTTTCTTTTCTCTTTGTTCAGCAGATTTGGACAATGCAGTAGAAGCCACCTGTGCCATGTTTATTCTCCTGTCACTTCCTTTCCATTCTTGCTTCCAACATCTCTCTTGACGACACTACTCTAAGAGTCTTCTAAGTCATTTTCCTAGCAATATAGTATATTGCATGTATATTTTTATAAGCCCAGGCTCAAAATTTATTTGGTATTTCCCCATTGCTACCAATTCTCTGAAGTTCAAATTCATTTAAATGAAGTTAAAAATTTCTGGTCAATTCTCCCCCAACCTTCTCAGTCTTATCCTCTTACTTTCCCTTGACAGTCACACTAGATGATCTAATTCTACCCTAGGCCTTGTGAACTCTATCAGGAACCAGATACCTCTGTGTCTTTAATCTTTCAAAGTCTCGCTATAATGCCATATCTTGCACACCAGCCACCCCCTGCCCTTCTGAACAGAGGTACTCTCTATGTCCCCTGGAATACCACAGCCATTTGTACTTCTAACAGTGAATCATTCACTTCCTGCCATTTTCACAGATGGTAGTTCATCTAGCTGTCTTCCCCACTACACTGCAGCAACTGGAAGGCTTGTATCTTGATGTGTCCATCCTTGGGTCACCCACAGGGCCTAATAGATATGAGTTTGAAACACTGTTTTAATTGAATGGCTGGATGTGCCTCAGTAGAGAACAAAGATAGAAGCCAAGGGAAACAGAAAGAATTTCAAATGCAGGTCATGCTCTCCAGAGAAAGGTATGTGTGTAAAAATAGACTGAAACAAGTGCAATGGATTTCTGTTTCAAGGGACTCAAGTTCAAGTTCAAGTCTGAGCTCAGCAGCAAGCCACCTACTAGTCTTGAGTAAGTTTTATTATCTTCAGCCTTAGTTTCTTCATCTGTCAAATGAAAAGATCAAAGCAGATGTTTCAATGGTCCCATACAGTTCTGTTATTCTGGCCCCCCAAAATCGCTTTCTACTCTTATACCTGGCAGACTCACTATATCCAAAGTTTAAATAGGATGCTAAGGGAATAGGAATTTGTTCTTAAAAGCAGAGATAGCAAACTGGCTGGTAGGCTAGAGAAAGCTGTTAGTCTAGTATCCCTGAGGCCTCAGAATGTTCCTGTGATACCCTTTAACCAGACCTCAGTTGTGGGCCCAGTGGAAGCAATGCTGGTTGTAAGAGGCAGGCCCCGCCATTCCCTCACAGTCTCCCCCTGACTCTTCTCTCTGAGATTGCTACCTCACACATTGAGATGGTCCTGTCTCAGCAGGCACTTTGGGAAACCAATCAAGAGGACTGATGCCTTCCATGGAGGACAGGCACCAAGGATTTGAGGAAGCCAGGAACCACGGGCATGGCTGTGGGTACTTCACTAGGTGTGTGCTGAGCAAGGGTATATTCTGGTCAGCTTGGAACTTAGAAAGAAAATGACTGCTTGTCTAAAAGGAGCATCTGAGCAACAGCAACTATTGGACAAAAAATGAGAGATCATGGCTATTTTGGCAAAAAGGTATTTCAGAACTGGTTATACAAGGGAGTTTCTATTAATTGTAATTCTATTTTATAAACTGCTGGAAAAAATATTACAATTTCAGGTTATATTAATAATAGCCTAGTGTCTAATAATGGAAAGTAACAGAAATAGAGTGTTTCACTGGTTAGAAAATATCTGGATTGTTGTCTTAGTTCTAAGTTCCACATCAGCTACCAAGTGATCATCTGCAAGGGATGCTCAAGAGGAAGACTCAGATCTAGCTGTGGCAGGAATACAAATATTTCACCTGAAGAGGAACAGACTCACAAATATTAGAAAGGCTCTGTTGTAGAAGTACAAATTTGGTCTACATTTCTTCAAAGAAAGGTCAGGATCATGGTGAAAGTCAAAGGAGAAATTGCCAATCTAGGTTTTTTTTTTTTTTACTCTGGGTAAAAAAAGCAATAAGACTCTGACATTAGAGATATTCATTCTCCAAACCCTCTGCACCAGTCAAAACTGGGCTGGGTATTATACTGTCCCCAGAATGTCCTCCTACATAACTTAAGTATCCACCAGCTCTTGGTTTAAATGTTGTGTCCTTTAGCAGGACTTCCTGACCATCAAGATAGATTGAGTCTGGATTTTAAGTGCTCCTGAGCACTCTGTCATTTGTTTAACAAGTGTTTTCTCTAACATATTTACATTCCATGAGGACAAGGGACACTGTGTCTCTAGTATCAAGCATGGAAACTGGCATACAGGTATCTGTGATTGAATGGTGGCCATTGATCAGGAATACCAGAAACAAAACAAAACAAAAAAACAAAACAAAACAAAATCCTACAATGGGCAGTACAAACCACAGTACTCCTTAGGCATCTTCTAACTCTCCATTGACATGACTTTGGTGTAATCTAAGATTGACATTAGCATTTTTGGTAGTTAGAATCTCTGTCAAACTTATAGTCAATGAGCGCTCTGGGCCTTTTGCACTGATAGTATTCTATACTTGTGTAAYGGACATAACCCTCTGTAAAGCTTCACACTTAAAAGGAAGTCATTTTACCTAAACATTTGGCAATATTCAAAAGTTGGAAGATTATGTAGCCATTAAATATCCTGTTTCCTCTGGCAAGATGAAGTAGACATATATTTCTCTATTTGCTGCTAAGTATAGGCAAAAGTATTGACATTATATATAAAGCAAATATTTAAAAACCTCTAAAAGATGGAGAAAAGGCAGCAGACAAGCTAGGAGCCCTGGGATCTGAAGAATGATATGATGGTGAGTTTTTTGGGTTTTCTTTTGCCTCACATACCTAAGCCTTGGAACAGAAGTACAACTTGAAAATGCCAAGAGGTGCAGATAAACAAAAGCCCAGTCAAAAACCTGATCTCTCTGACCAAAGGACCAGGAAAAGGGCAGTTTGGCAAGATAAAAAGACTTTACTAATCTACTCCAGCCAAATGCCTTAGAAGAAAACTGTCTCCCACCCACCACCCCAGGAAAGACTGAGCAGAAATTTTAGAACTGAAAAATAATGTAAATACAAAGCTTAGAGATTGGGCTCAATAGCTGATAGGAGGGGACAAGGAACAATTAGTGAAGTAGGAGGTGGAATAATAAAAATGACCAAATTTGAATATCAGAGAGAAAAAATGAACAGCACCTCYGGGATGTTGGACTAAAACAAAAGATCACAGTCCAGGGAGGAGGGGAGAAACAGGGTGCTGAAAACGACTCAAAGAAATCATGGCCAGGTGGGTGCGGTAGCTGCGATCCCAGCTTGCAGGAGGCTGAGGCAAGAAGGTTTCATGCTCAAAACCGGGGCACCACAGCAAGACCCCATCTCAAAAAAAAATTCTTTTTTCACACTGGGGATTGAACCTAGAGGTGTTCTACCACTGGGCCACACCCCCAGCCCTTTTTATTTTTTGTTTTGAGAAAAGGTCTCACTATATTGTCAAGATTTGAATTTGTGACCCTCTTGCTCCAACCTCTAGCACTTGGGATCACAGGTATGCCAGTGCTACCATGCCTGCCTCAAAAACAATTTTTAAACAGAAAGAAAAAGTGGCTGAGAATGCTCAAATGTGGCAAAAGACAAACCTACAGACTTAAGAAGGTTTGAAAACTCCAAATAGAATAAACTCAAAGAAATCCAGTGAATTAAATGAAAATAAAAATACAATATCTAAACATTCGTGGACACAGTTAAGGCKGTACTGAGAGGGAAACCTACAGCACCAAATGTACCTAAAGAAAAGAAGAAAGTCTCAAATCAATACTCTAGTTTTCTACCTTAAGAACCCAGAACAAAAAGAGCAAAATAAAACCAAAGCAAGCAGAAGAAAAGAAGTAATAAGGAGAAGGGCAGAAGTGAAATGGCCAAACCAGAAAAGAGCAAAGAGCCTCCTTAGGAACAATGAAAAAGCCCACCCAAAGGGAAGGGGCCAGGCAACTCAGTGTGAGGCCACTTGGGACTGAAAAACAGATGAAAGTAAACCAAGTTGGRTTCTTCTGGAGAAAAAATGCAATGACTAGGAGAGATCAAAAGACCATGCTAGAGCAGACTGTGAAGAGGTGACATCATAGTTCTTAAGTCCAAGTGTGAATGTCATTAATACTCACACATTCTGGATTGAGATATGAAAAGCAAAAGCCCTTTGAGGTTGAAATGTCTTAGTTATTTAAATGTCTGAAACATTAGCAATAAAATTTCCTCTCCCTACTTAAGAGCATAGCATAAAAAATCAACAGGTGTTTATTAAGTTAAGGATAAGGCCACAAATATGAGCAAAATTTACCCAATATTATTCATAATTCAAATATTGGTTGTTTTAAATAATTCCGGATCTTTCCCTAAACCCACTGACAATACTAGATAAAGTTTTTTCAAACTTTCTTACCTCGTAGAAGAAGGGATGTCCAGCCATATCAAAGATGTTGACTTTGATCTCTCTGTCTCTGACTTGTACTCTAAAACAATCAAATGAAACAATTCCAAAGATCATGATTTCTGCATTCACATTAGTATCATTTATGTCATTTATGAATTTTAAAAGGATATCTGTGTGAAATTTGAAAGAGGCTTTCTTTGTCCCCTTCCTAATTCCAGATCATTTGTATAACAGAAGCCAGGAATCTGGCATATGACCCTACCTCCTGAGTCTACCTGGAGCAAATACCCTCACCTTCACCTTCATCTCAAGCCACAGCCCTGAACCAACAAATATTGGCTACTGCTGTGGTTTTAAGAAGAATCAATTTGTGGCCAGCCCCTATCAGCATCCCCTCCTGCCCCTGCAAGAGTTCTGTTTCTATTCTTCACACTTGAATAAATCCTACTCCCTTCAATCTTTAAAAAAAAAAAAAAAAAAATCAATTTAGGAAAAGTACAACTAAGATGAAGGAAAACAAGGAGTTTTAGTTCACTTAGTAAGAAACACCTTAATTATTACTGGTTATACTTGGTTAACATGCAGCAGAGTTGCAAACATTAATGATGTATGTTTAAGTTTTGTGTGATCTTCATTTGAGCAACAGCAATAGTTAATTTTTTTTCAGAAACAAATTTGAAAACAAAAATAAAGTGAGAAACAATAATCATTCATAATAAAATTAATTAGTTAATATCATAGTATATTCTAGTTTTTTTTAAAGGAAAAACACTATTGGAAAAATCATGAATGAATATTATAAATAATTCAAACATTAAGGAAAAATAGAAAGATGAACATTAAAAGACATCCCAAGCCCTATCACCCAGAATAACCTTCATTAATATAGATACACAACCCAGACTTCTATGCATAGATAAGATTGATAAACATAAATACCCTTATAAAAATGAAATTATGCTATTATAAAAATATATAAAATTTACTTTTTAACTGAATTTAACATAAACAAAAGAAACTTTAATGAACTGAAAGGAATTACTGAACTTTAAATATAAATGTTTCAACACAAAATTTCCTAAAAGATCCTTCTAAGTTAAGAATAGAAATTAACAACAGTAAATAAACAGATTGAAGTCATTACTACTCTACTCCAGCCAAGTGTCTTAGAAAAAACTGTCTCCCCCTCAGTCCCATAAAGTAACCTGTTTCAGAGTTAGAATTTTGACAGGGCTGCTAGGGAACACAAGGCCCTCAGCACTCGCTCTCATTGTCCCTACACTGCCTCCTGATTTATTTATTACTATTCCCAAATTTATAACACTCACTTTCTGTTCTGAAACCATAATTCCTACAGTTGTTTCATGTTTTTAAAGTATATTTTAGTTGTTGTGGTACCTTTATTTTATTTACTTATTTGTATGTGGTGCTGAGAATCGAACCCAGCRCCTCATACGTGYAAGGCAGGCACTCTACTGCTGAGCTACAGCTGTAGCCCCGTTTCATATTTTATATTACCTGTATGTTTAAGTCAAACTAGCAACTAAGCACCTTATTATGTTTCTTTGCTTCTGAAGGCTCACAGCTTTTCATCAGTTCTAAGGTGCCTGTTTTCACTTTAACACCTGTGAAATCAGGATCCATCTTTCAAAAGAGAACATAAAGAAAGAAAACCCTAATAGGGCTGGGCAGTAGCTCAGGGGCAGAGTGCAAAACAGTACTAGAACTTAAAGCATCGGGGGAAGATCTGGCATAGTATATATTTTTAAAATTCTTACTGTAAAAAGATAGTAGCTGAGCAGGGATACACCCATAAAGCCCATAAAGTCAAGAAGTAACAAAAAAGTCTTTATACTCTAAAACTCCAAAGAGGTCAACTTAATTTGGAAGCCAGAGGAGGAAATTATTTTAGAAAAATGGTAATTCATTATCTCAAGGCAGTGCTTGCCTCAGTGTGGTCTGAAAAACACCTGCCTCAAAATTACAGGAGAGGTGTTAAAAATGCAGATTCCTGCATCCAACCTCAGACCCAGTGAATCAGAATCTTAGCAGTGGCCCCAGGAATCTGCTCTTTCACAAAGGCTACAAATAAATTTTAAGTACATTGAAATTAAGCTTCAAAATTAAAACAGAAAAGAAGGAATGGCTATCTACAGCATCGGGCTTCCTTCTCCCAGTTGTGGTGCACATGGCTGTGCCATCTTCCTATGGCTTCCACTCTGCTGGCCAAGCTAAGATGCCTTTCCACTGAGCTGGGGGAAGGCACCTGCTCCACTTGGGCCAATCAAATCCTTCCCTGAGACTTCCCCCCCATGGAACTGGGGATAGAACCCAGGGAGTCATCATGTCTTTTCAGTAACACACTAGATGTCAAGCATGCTCGGTGAGCACTCCACCACTAGGTACACCTCCAGCCCTCTCCCTGGGATTAAACTTGGGATATTAATTTTGGTTCTTCTGTAAAAATAAAATTAAATATGTAAGCTTGAGAGCCACTGGCAGCTTTGTACAAACCACACACTTAAAAGACTAAAGMAAGAGAGAGAGAGAGAGAGAGAGAGAGAGAGAGAGAGAGAGAGAGAGAGAGAGGGAGGGGGGGAGGGGTAGTAAAATGATCTGTCTAAATTCTGTCTCTGGTTCCAACCTCCCCTGAGGCCTCACTGTGTCATCCTTATAACTGGAATATGTGAACTGACTAATATCCTTTTCTTTCAGGTTTTGCTTGAGTTGGTTTGAGTTGGTTTCTGTCTGACTCATCATGGGACAACCATCTTTTCCAAAAGAAATTTCAGTAAGAAACAGAAGTTTGTCAAATAAACTGCAATTTTCTGGCACAATCTGGTAATTTCCATTTCTTAGATAAGTAAACTAGTAACTTATATGGATTAATTAAAAAGTCACCATAGCACATGCCTGTAATCTCAGCAGCTTGGGAGGCTGAGGCAGGAGCATCACAAGTTCAAAGCCAGCCTCAGAACTTATTTGAGACCTTATTTCTAAATAAAATTAAAAAAAAAAAAAAAGGCTGTGGATGTGGCTCAGTGGCTAAGTGCCCCTGGGTTCAATTCCTGGTAGCAAAATAGAACAAAACAAAGCTGCCTTAAACAGGGTATCTTATATCACTGATGAAATCCTGTGTCCTTAAGTAGGGAAGGGAAAAGTAAACTAGGAAAAAAAATGTGGATTTCAAATGAAAAGCTTCATACATTTCACAGCTAAGTGCTATGACTTTCATTCTTTAAAGAAAACTTGCAGAAATACCCTCTGCTGCTGCCAGGTGATAAATGGTGATGTAACAACCTTACAGAGCTCTTACTTGAGTTACTTTACCTCTTACTTGAGCTACTGTACAGACACGAAGGTGTGTAATTACGCACCTAAACTCAACTTTGCCATTCACATAATCAACATTTTGCTATACATATATACCCCACAGTTTTTGTCTGCCTTTTTGAATACTGCCTTCATATTCTCATCTGAAGATTTTCTCTTTAGATGTATCCTTTATGTATAATAAATAATTATTGAGCACCTACTAGGTATACACACTGCCTCAGGCACTTGGAGAGAACTTACACTAATAGCCTCTTCCTCAGGCATTTATAATTTAGCAGAGGCATTAAAAATATACAGATAATAATAACAAAAGGCAATTTAGGGCAAGGACCATAAATAGCACAGAGAACTTTAAGATGTCTCAGTTGCAAAAAGATCGTGACCTATAAAGGAGGGTTCAGAAGGTCTCATGGGAACAGGGCCTTTTATACTTAGAAGAAATTAGCAGGTGGAGAGATGAGGGGACAGTATGGTAACGTCACAGAGGCAGGAAGGCACGAGAGCCGCACTTGAKTACGGGTGAAGAGTCAAGTGTGGGATTGTGCTGTCTACCCCAATTCTATTCCGTGTCTCTCCTGCTAACTTAATCCTTTCTCCTCAAGCTCAACCCAGTCTTTGATTTACCTCCAAACAAATCCTCACACATCATTTTCCACATACTTAGATGTTTTTTAGAATATTTCAAAACATTTAAAAACACACCGGCTGACAGGACCAGCTTGTGTAGAGACATGTTTCCTGAAAAGCTGCACCTGCCAGTTAGGCTCTGTGTTGACTTGCTTGTCACTGTCTGTCCTCCCCCTACTGTGTCCCAAGGCGGTGGGACACAGTGTGCTTGACATGGTGGCTGCATGAAGGAATGATTGATTGCCTCATGGATGTAAAGATCTTAGTGCTATCTTTCCCGATGTATCTTCAATGTCTCTATTGTAAGAATATCTGCATCAATGCATTCATGCAAATATAGATCATTTTGGGAAGAGTTCCAGATTTCTGTGTAAATTACAAGCCCAGGGAAACAATATACTTACTTGGTGACTCCATAGTCAATTCCAATTGTTGCAAGGTATTTAGACACAAATCTTTTCTCACAGTATCGCTTTATAATACAGCTCTAAAAAGGCAAAAATATATAAATCTTGTAAATACACACTAGGAAAATATACAAAGTAAGCACATTTCTTCATTATAGTTTCTTTATTCACCACTATGAAAGTGTTTTCAAAAGCCAAAACTATTCCTGAAACATGCCAAAATCAAAGAGTTTAAAGAAAATTTATTTTTAAATTCTTGTCTTAATACTAAATATGGGTATGTTTTCAGTTTTGCTCTCACTCCTGTGTTCTTTTCTTTTGAAGACCTTTTCAACACCACCAAAATATCTATGTCCGCCTCAACTTCTTTCCCAAGAGCAGATCTACATCTCCAGTTTCTATAAAACTGGTTTCTACTTAGATGTCCTGCTGTTCCTTCAAATTCAACATGTCCCAAATTCAGCATGTTCACATAAAAGCAGCACATCCTGCTGACATTTTAATAATGTCCCTATTCTCCCAGTCACAAAGAATCAAAACATTAAAGTCAGATTTGATTCTGGGCCTTTCTTAATCTTTTGAATGGATCTTCCATTTTTCTTTTCATTCCTATTCCCATTGGTATGGTTTTGGTCCTCATCATCTGCCGATAGGAAATTCATTACTGGTCTCTCTACCCTCTTTCCCTCCCAACTTCAGTCAATACCGCACGCTACTGACACCATTTCACTTCTCTAATTCAAAAACCTTCAAGTAGCTTCTCACTGTGAATAGAGTTTGACTTCACATTCTCTTGTCCTTTATTCAAGGTCCTCTAGAATCTGGCCCTCATCTGTTTTCTCTGTTTAAATCCTTCCATATAAATTCTGCATTTCTGCAAAACTCCCAGGACCCAACTTCCTGACTTTTATTAGTTCTTTTCCCTTCACTTTGTAATGAGCTTTCTCCCCTTCATCCCAAACCTTACTCATCCTTTAAGGCCCAGATCAAATTCCGAGCACCCTGGTGTGACTGAATTCCCCTTTATACATGCACAGGGAACATCTGAACTCCTCTGCTCTTTACATTTCTATTATTACAGATGTACACATTGTACATGGCCACGCACGGTGAGCTAGCCTCTCAGGGTGCTGTTTACCTCCTCTCTTCAGCTAGGCACTGAACTACTCGAGGCAGGCATCATCCTTCTATCTTTTGCAGAAACTAGCTCTGTGCCTTTCACAGAGGCTTAAAAACCACCAAATGAATATAAGCAAGCATCAATTATCCTAGAATAGCTTGGACTATTTCTGATTATGAATGGTTAATTTACAATGTAAATTTCCTTATGAACTGAAAGAAAAATTTCTTCGAGGGGGTTACTGCTAAGAAGCTATACTTTTTTTTTCTTCTTCTTCTTCTTTTGCAGTGCTGGGAATGGAGACCCAGGCCTAATGCATGCTAGAAAGTGCTCCACACTGAGTCACATTCCCAGCCCCAAGGATACACTATTTAAAATGCTTTATAGCTTGTAGGTACTTCTCAAATGTTTTCTCTCACAAGAGCCTAGAAAAATAAATAAAGCCTTAAAAAATTATTCATGAGCTTCAGAGACCAGAAAATCCTTTAACACTAGTCTGTTAACTAAACTGTTTATATAGTTACACATTTAAATAACAATATTAATAATCATTCCCTATAATACAAGGAGATAGGGTCCTGTTCCTTAGGATCTTACAAGCTAAGTTAGATAACATAAATACAGGGGGAATAGATAAAATTAAATAAATACAAAACTAAACTAAATATTAACTGTGCAGCCAAACTGATTTACTTGAATAAGTTTCCCCAAAATAGCATATTGATATGGAATAGTGACAGGTTCAAATGATAACATATGGTATTAATCAACAAAATAAAAGCATAAATAAAGCTTTTATGCTGTGATAACACAGAGACAGTGATCTGACAGAATTAAAAACAAAATAATCTTCTTAATCTATACAAAAAAGTATATATTCACTCATTAAACAAATAATGAGTTTATGACCACCTGTGCTGGATATGGAGTTAGGTGCTGGGATGTGAAGACAGGATCGAGTTTCTACCTGTAAGGAGCTTGCAGTGTTCTGTAAACAGGTAGCAGTAAATAATTATACAAGTAAGCTTCTAAATTACAGTTGTCCTAAGTGCCATAAGAATTCTGGGATGTTATAAGATAGTAATTAGAACCTAACATTTTACTTTCCAATGTACTAAAAATGGCACTTTATCTGAGTACGATTAAAAACATTTCCCCTCTCACATAAAAGTTTGCAATATAAACTTGAATGTTCACATTATCATGATTTACAGTACCTGAAAAGTAAGAAAAAAAAAAAAAGGGATAAATAAAATGTGTTATATCCACACAAGGAAATACTTTTTTCTCTGTTTAAATCCTTCCTGAAATCAGGAAGTATTGACACATGCTACCACACAGATGAGCCTTGTCAATGACATGCTGAGTAAAAGAAGCTTGACATAAAGGACCACTGTTAATTCCATTTATGAGAAAGTTCAGAACAGGCAAATCCATGTAAGCAGGAAGAACATGAGTGGTGGCCTCAGCTTGGGAGTCAGGGGTAATGGGGTGGACTGTTAATTGCTGTGTGTTTTTTATAGAGAATGATGAAAATGTTCTACAATTGATTGTAGTAACAGCTGCATAACTTTGTGAATATACACTTTGTTTTTAAATTAATTTTTTAAAAAATTCTTTAATGGTACTGGGAACTGAACCCAGGAGTGCCCTACCACTAAACTGCATCTCAGATCTTTTAATTTTTTTATTTTGAGATAGGGTCTCACTAAGTTGCTCAGGCTGGCCTTGAACTTTCAATCTTCCTGCTTCAGCCTCAGTAGTAGCTGGGATTATAAGCTTGTGCCACCAYGCCCAGCCCACTGTACACTTTAAATAAGTGAATTGTACATTAATTGTAGCTCAGTGATATAATAAAGCTTTACATTTTTCTTAATTGTTTAATCTTTTGGGAAGAAACGAAGGATTCCTAAGGGCCTAATCCTCTCTGAGGGAAACTTGAGATTTCCCTGTGATCTTTGTTTATATCCAATTCAACTTCCTACATTGGCAGGCGACTACCCCCAAACCACAGGCCACTTCTCAATGTTTTTTAGGATCTTGTTTCCTAACATGCTATTTATCTGTGACCTCGTCTCTTTTCACATACCATGTTAATTCTAAGGTAATATATTAAGAAATAATAATAATCTGACATGGTTACAGCCTGATTCAACCTATTAAGCATGTTTTGCAAAACTGCCCAAGTTTTACCTGAATAGAAAACCAAAATTTAGGGCAGAAGTTTGAGTTTTAACCCCACAAATGCTCTATCTAAAGTTTTTGAGATAAATCTCTAAGGCTGGAGATGACATTCCCAGTGGGGCAGAACACTTGATATGAAATGTATACATTTTCTATTTCTCTCTCACAACTGTGTTCAAGATCTAATGAGACTTCAGCAGAAACACAGCTAGTCATGATCCACAAAAACAGGCTCAGAGGGCATATATGCTTACTATGAAAAAATCCAAGTAGTATAGAAATGTTTAAGGAAGATTGGGGGCTGGGGTTGTGGCTCAGTGGTAGAGCGCTTGCCTAGCATGGGTGAGGCCCTGGGTTCAATCCTCAGCACCACATAAAAATAAAATTAATTAATTAAAGATATTCTATCAAAAAAAAAAAAAAAAAAAAAAAACCTCTTAAGGGACTGGGATTGTGGCTCAGCAGTAGACCGCTCGCCTAGCACATTCGAGGACCTGGGCTGGATCCTCAGCATCACATAAACAAAAATAAAATAAGGTATTGTGTCCAATTGCAATTAAAAAATAAATATTAAAAAAAAAGCTCTCAAAACCCACTACTCTGAGATAATGATCAAAAACATATTGGTAACTACCTTTTCCAACATTTCTTTTTGTTTTTGCGATGGGGTCTTTCTCTGTAGCCCAGGCTGGCCCTGAACTCCTGGGCTCAAGTGATCCTCAGCTTCCTAAGTAGCTGGGTGTGTGCCACACACGTGGCTCAAACACTTTATGTGTTAGCTTAAACCATATTAAACTGCCATTTTTAAAAAATATTATATATATTTTAATTGTTGATGGACCTTTATTTTATTCATTTACTTATATGCAGTGCTGAGAATCGAACCCAGTGACTCACCCATGTGAAGCAAGTACTCTGTCACTGAGCCATCAGCCTAGCCCTAAATTGCCATTTTTAAGGTTAAAAAAAAAAATTCAAATGCCTGCAACTTCATAAGATTCGACCTATTGCAGGTATATATTTTATTTTCATGGATGGGAACATATCATATAAACTGTTTTATGGACACCCCCCACTCCCTTCAGTCTTCTGTTTATTCTCAAATTCTCTATTCCACTTCCCAAGATAACAAACTTTCAAATCTTTCTCCTTGGTCTTAAAACCTTGGTTGGCTCAGGACTTCTGGAAAGAAAAGTCACTGTTATCCGCATAGAATATGAAAAAAATAGTAAGATACCCCAGTTGCTGTGGGAGGTCACTTTTTGACTGCGGGGAATCAGCATTAAGATAAAGCCAGTAATGCTGTTGGCACAAGGATGAGAATGGCCTGGGCCCCTAGTGGTACTGAGTCTGCGTATCAACTCACTCTGAAGCTTGCCCTACTTCTAGATTTCCAATTATGGTAAGTAAATATTTGCCTTGGGTTTCTCTTACTTGCAGTAAAAAAATACCCACATTATACAGTACTGCATATATCCTGCAGTTTGTTTTTCTGTCTTAAGAAGAATAAACTATGGTAATCTCTCCACGTTAACTGACATAGTTCCAACTCACTTTTTTCATGATTGCATAATAATCCATGATATACAAGTATTTAATAAAAATTCACTGCTTTCAGTCTTTTTCTCTGCTATAATATTACAATAAATGCKTTGTGTATACATGTGCTTTAAAAGGGGCACTTTAATTTCTGTGGAATAGATTTGCAGAAGTAGAACTGCTGGTTGAAGAACGCTTCTTTTATTTTAGTAGCTACTGCCAATTGCTCTTCAAAAG